CCCGGCGGGGTTGAGTGGGCCCCGCGCCCTGCTGTGCCCTGTGTGGTGCAAACCCAGAGCCAACCCGCAGGCGAGGGCACTCAATCACCTCGCCCCCCCCGCCTGCAGATATCCCCCCTTGCCACCCGCTGCTCCCCTCCTCTCACTGGCGAAGCCCAGTCCTGGGAGCTGCCCGACGCCTCTCCTGAGATCCCGCTTGCTGGCGCCAGCGTGGGGAGGCTCAGTACCCCGCTCACCCGGTGGTGATAGACGTGTGTGCCCGCCCCCTTTTCACCAGTGCTCGCACGGTGGTGTTAGACGTGTGCGCTCTGAGAGACCTTTCACCAGTGCTCACCCGGTGGTGATAGACGTGTGTGCCCGCCCCCTTTTCACCAGTGCTCGCACGGTGGTGTTAGACGTGTGCGCTCTGAGAGACCTTTCACCAGTGCTCACCCGGTGGTGATAGACGTGTGTGCCCGCCCCCTTTTCACCAGTGCTCGCACGGTGGTGTTAGACGTGTGCGCTCTGAGAGACCTTTCACCAGTGCTCACCCGGTGGTGATAGACGTGTGTGCCCGCCCCCTTTTCACCAGTGCTCGCACGGTGGTGTTAGACGTGTGCGCTCTGAGAGACCTTTCACCAGTGCTCACCCGGTGGTGATAGACGTGTGTGCCCGCCCCCTTTTCACCAGTGCTCGCACGGTGGTGTTAGACGTGTGCGCTCTGAGAGACCTTTCACCAGTGCTCACCCGGTGGTGATAGACGTGTGTGCCCGCCCCCTTTTCACCAGTGCTCGCACGGTGGTGTTAGACGTGTGCGCTCTGAGAGACCTTTCACCAGTGCTCACCCGGTGGTGATAGACGTGTGCGCCTGTGCACGGCCTGGCACTGGAGAGCTAGCCCTGGCCGGGGGCATTTGGCCCAGCACCCTGCCCGGGACAGGGAAGCAAGGGAGAAGGAGAGGGAGGGAGGCGGAGGGAGAGCCACAGCAGGGCAGGCAGGCGGGGGAGAGAGATGGAAACAGCAGGAGGCTGCCCCCTCTCCCTGACCTGCCTCCTGCAGCCCAGCCCGGCCGAACCAGCTGTGCAGGGGGCAGGCAGGGATGGGCTGGGGGGTTAAGGGGGGGGCATAGTAACCCCCCAACGCGCACACAGACCCCCTCCCCCACTGGCCCCACTCATGCCCTCTGCTTGGGACTAAGCCCAGCCCCCTCTCTACCCCCGGACCCCCGTCCCCTCTCTCCCGCAGGTGGCCCAGCTGCAAGCAGAAGCAGCAGCTGGCCAAAGCCCGGGCCGGGGAGCTGGGGGCCTCCCCCGAGGGCGAGAAGCTGCACAGCGACAGCGGGGTCTTCCTCGACACGCACAGCCTGCAGGAGCACCACGCGCTCAACAAGGGTAAGGGCGCCCGGCGCAGGCCACGCCCCCGCCCCCCGAGGGGTGGAGCTCCCACGCCCGAGGGCGGGGGTGAGAGGAAGCAGGGGTGTCCAGGGACCCAGGCTGCGATAGGGACAGTGCCTGTAAGAAACGTTACGTTACTTTCACTGCTGGTTAGGGGGCTCGGCGGTTTCTGGGCCCCCCTCCCCCCCGAGTGTGAGCATTGTCAGTTTCTATGCGCCCCAGGCAGTCTACGCAGGAAGTTTCCATGTCCTCCAGGGATACGGGCATTGGTGTGTTCTACGTCCCCCGGGAGGGGGGTTCCACAGAGGCTGGAGAGAGGCTGTTTTCGGTGGGGGAGGCGGCAGAACAAGGAGCAATGGGCTCAAGTTGCAGTGGGGGGAGGTCTAGGGTGGATACTAGGAGATGCTATTTCCCTAGGCGGGTGGGGAAGCGCTGGGCTGGGTTCCCTAGGGAGGGGTGGAGTCTCCATCCCTAGGGGTGTGTAAGTCCCGGCTTGCCCAAGCCCTGGCTGGGATGGTTGTGTTGGGTGGGTCCTGCTTCGGGCAGGGGCTGGACTCGATGGCTCCTGAGCTCTGTGCCCGCCCTGGGGTTCTAGGCTCCCCGGATGCTGTGGGGGACTCGCGGCTGAGCTAGTGCCTCTAGAGCAGCATAAAACGCTGCAGCGGCCCCGGGCCCGGCTCGGGTTTGTGCTTCAGCCGGGCGCTGTGGCCTCTTAGGCAGCCAGGGTGACTGCAGGGAGGAGGGGTCTGCA